TGGTTGATGCACAGCTGACAGAAGCATGAAAAGTCATCATTCGCAATGAACGCTAGCTCCTGGCAAGGATCAGTCCGATTCGGACAGGTCGGGCACTCTGCTTCTACCTGGTCTTTGAAAATGAATTTTTCATAAATATTTTTTAGAATCAAAGGGCTAGCCATGAGGGGTTTTTATAAATAAAAAAAAAGTTAGTTAGGTGAGAATCAAAGTATCAGACGCATGTGATAGGAGGAGATTTCCTTGCGCTCGAACCTGGTCACTGCTGCAGAAGTTCCAAGCATCGTAACCATTACGCCATAGAACGCCAGAAACTCATTTAAGAAATGATACAAATATTAAACACCTCAAAGTTAAACGACAATATAGATACATTTGTTTTGAATGCTACAACGTGAATGCTAACCTAAGGCCAGCAGAAGAATTGTAACCAGAGACCAGTAAAATAATTTCATTTCACCCGTCAAGAGCTATCAATTGTTATAGCAAAACAATATTTGTTTCAATTAATTAATTTATTTATTGATTAATTAACAAATTAATTAATTTATTAAAATTTGCAAACACTTTTCACTGTAACAAAATTTTCAGAAATAAAAACAGAAGTTAATTGAAAATTATCATGTAGTATTAGTTGGTGCACAAAAAGTTACGAATCAACGCATTGGCTCTGGCCAGACACTTTATTTTTGTAATAATTAGCGCTATAAAAATGTCCATAATAACAATAATAATAAATAATAATAATACGGTGATGATGATGATGATGATGATGATGATGATGATGACGGTGATGATGATAAGTTACACGTTTAAATTATTTTTAATCAATAAATAATAATTAAGTGTATACGTGATTCGCCGGAGGGTAAAAAAAATCTCCGCCAATAATTAGCAGTAGCAATGATAATAATAATAATAATTATTATTATTATTATTATTATTATAATAATAATGATATAATAATAATAACTATAATAATAATAACGATAATCGATTTATTAAAGTTAATTACGCTACTACATAGTCTGTTTAGTTGTTCATTAAAGGTTATCGTCGTCGTTGTTATTATTATTATTGATGTTGTTGTTGCTGCTGTTGTTGTTGTTGCTGCTGTTGTTGTTGCTGCTGCTACTGTTGTTACTGTTGTTGTTGTTGTTGTTGAAACAATAAAAATAATTATAATTATGTTGTTTGTTCATCTAGTCGTAAGGCAGAAATCGAAGTTGGGTGTCACGTGTTGATGACGTATTTTGTTTACGTGAGAGAATTCTTTGAAAGAAGTCATCATCGTCGTCTTCGTCATCATCATTATTATTACTAAAGATATTAATTACTTATTAATGTTGTTTATCTCAATAGCTGCAGCAGTAGTAGTAGTAGGAGAAGGATGAGTTGTTGTTGTTGTTGTTAATCGCTAAATTCTATTGACAAACAGTTTTAAGTAGTAGTAGTAGTAGTAGTAGTAGTAGTAGTAGTAGTATTTGTAGTAGTAATAGTAGTAGTAGTAGTTTTGTAGTAGTATTAGTAGTACTAGTAGTAGTAGTTTTGTAGTAGTAGTAGTAGTAGTTTTGTAGTAGTAGTAGTAGTAATAGTAGTAGTAAAAACATCACCATCTGATTCCGTGACATGAAGAAATAACATTTGTCTTGAAACACGCTAAGCAATAAAAATATTTGTATTAGCTGTTGTGGTAGTAGTAGTAGTATTAGTAGTAGTAGTAGTGGTGGTGGTAGTAGTAGTAGTAGTAGTAGAGTAGTAGTAATAGTAGTAGTAGTAGTAGTAGAAGTATAGTGGTAGTAGTTGTTTTTGCAGTATGAAGAAAGCGTTTTTTCCATGAATTCCTTATATTTGGAAAGTAGAAAACTGCATTTGTGTAAGCTTTGACGTGTGGAATTTGTCATGAAAGGTTTTCGTGTGTTTGCGATTTTATTAAAATTGCGTTTGTGTGCGTGTGTGTGTGCGTGTGTGTGTGTGTATATGTGTGTGGTGTGTGTGTGTGGTGTTTTCCTAGGGAATGACACAAACTGACTCTATTTTGGTATCGTGAAAATACAGACTACTTTTAATTTATTTTCAAACTAATTTTTGTAATGAAGTACTTAAAATATACAAACATGTCATGTCAACACACATGTCAACACACACACACATACACACACCCGCACGCACATATAAACACACACTCACACACACGCGCACGCACATATAAACACACACTCACACACACACACACACACACACACACACACACACACACACACACACACACACATACATACATACATACATACATACATACATACGCGCATTTGCAATTATTTTTAGTTAAATGTTATACAAATAGTAGAAAACATTTCCATATTGTTTCACGGTCCTTTTGTCAAAAAACACGAAAAATCAATTGCTCGTGTCTTAATTTTTCAACTTTGTTGCCAAATTGTTTAGAAGAAAAGTTTATTTGCACAATAGTTTACATGCATAAATACATTTTGTCTAAAGAAAAAATGCAGAATAACAATCAATTGAGAATGTTTCGTGATGATACATAGAGTTTAGTTACTACTTGAGTTAACTTTAGTTACGAAAAATTGTTTTTTGTTCAATAAAAAGACAGTTTTTTATTTTAGAAGAAAACTCAAGTGCTTGTTGTTAACTCATACCAAAATTTATTCAAGTGGTTAGCAGCATTTAAGATATATTTGCTGGTTTGTAAGGTGTAATGGTACGAGCAAGTATTAATATCATTTGAATGTTAAACTCGCTGTAAACATTCCTGCTTCTGACAGAATTTTATTCGCTAGTCTGTTGGAAACATCGAGTGAGTTACGACCGTTTTTCTAATTTTGTTTGACAATTTCAAATATTCATTTATAAATGGTCAATTTGGTAGCACATATGAACAAAAAACTTGCCAACCGGCGTGATGGCTCAATGGTTAAAGGCGCCTGGTCTTGCTATTGCAATGACTGGGTTTGAATACAAAGAGATCCCCGCCTATCATATGCAATGTGTATGATGCGTGGTTTGCACGCGTATTCATATCCGCTGTGTGTGTTTGTCGTTGAAACCTCTGGAGAAAACGCAAAAGAGAGAGAGAGAGAAACCTCTCTCTCTAACCTCTAACCGATAATCATTGGCATGGTTCTCATCACAAGGTAGCCTGGAAATGTTGACGAACGTAGCAGTAGGCGCCTACACGTTCAACAGTTCAGCCCTCCTCATCAATTCATCGCTGATGCTGACGGCATTTCTTGCCGTTGATGGTAAGAACGGCCTGAGTGACCCTTCGGTGTTTTGTTCTTTGACGCTGCCCGGGTTCGATCCCCACTGGATCGGTGTCGACCTGGGAAATGTGTTTCAAATATTCTACGCGGTACTTTACGCTGGCTCAAGTATGTTTTCTAGTCATGTTAGTTTCATTAAAGGTTGACGGGAAAATGAAATCTGATCGTTAAAAATGAATTTATTAACAAACCTCACTGAGTTAGATAGAGCTGGAGTTGCAACCAAAAACGATTTGAACTTCTTCATAGTGGGAGTGAGCAACAGGTCCCTGGATGTTCACCCGCCAGTGAGAGGCACCTACGATCTCTGCGCTCAATATCCAGGTGTGGTTGCTCCGAAGCAGGTGGTTCAGTTGAATTGTTCCTCCACTACGCCTCCAGCCAGATACGTCATACTGCAACAACCTTCCAACTCTACTGGATACATGTCCGTCTGCGAATTCGAAGTCTATGGAACACCATTCGGAAGTGAGACAAAATTAACAAAAGATTTTCAGTTAATTTTAAGAAGGACAATTCTAACGGAACAACACGCATTAAAGCTCAGAGACAGAACTTGCTGCTGCACAAACCAGCCAACTCGAGTTCAACGTACAGCGAGCTCGGCATACCAAACCAATGCGGTCCATTCACCGCAGACTTCGTTGTCGATGGATTCCACGACACCCAGCTTTTGAATTGCCACTGTGGACACAATAATGATTTTGGCAACAAACCGAACTGGTTCGTCGTCGACATGCTAGAGATGTTCTACGTCGACTACATCCTCTTCACGGCTCGTATCGAATACTACGGTTAGTAACGGTTCTGATTATCAACTGGTCACATGAGGTTTTGCGCGTTTCTTTGAAAATTAAACCATTTTGTAACCAGGCCGCCACCGAAATGATAATTTTTACGTCGGCTTCTCCAACCAGCCCAGCTCAGTATCTCCACCAATCAGAAAGCAGTACCCTCTCTGCGGTCAGTGGCCCGGCTATGTAGTCCCTGGATCTGAGGTGCTTATGAAGTGCAACGCCAATCTGCCATCTTTCAGATATCTCATTGCTCAGGGAGCTTTGAATGCTTTCGATGGCTTTTTTGCATCGTGTGAGATTGAAGCCTACTCCCCCTTATCTAATGGTTGTTGAGATTTTTTTGTATTTTGCATTCAACTTTGTTTATTTTAGGGAATTCTTTTTCAATTTTTTTTCATAAAATATGAAACAATTTTGAACGCAATGTTTTTAAATTATACAATTTTCTGTAATTTGTTTATAAAAATGTCAAAATTTTCTCATAACTTAACTTGGCACTCTTACAACGTTCTTGAAAATATTTATTTAAATACAATAAAAGTCTGCCTTTTTAATACACTTTTAACTTCAATTTCAATGAAAACACTCGCCACTGCAAAACAGAAAATCATTTTTTGTATTTAAGTGTTAAAAATTTATCATAAAACGTACATTCATCTTTCACATGTCTCTAGTTTTGGATTTGAATGACATGGTAAGAAAAGATTTTTTAAAATTTACAAATAAGAATGAGGAAAACGCACACAGATTTTTTGGTTTGGAAAAGAAAGGCAGGCACGTACCTGGCTGGCTACAAGGTGATGACGCTGACGGTTAGAAGCGCTACTGAGTGCTTCATTCGCCGTCGTCAGTTCGGCGGATGTGACTCCATCAACTTCAACTCCGCTTCCAAGAAGTGCGAACTTAACAGACATCAAAATGGATACTCAGCACCGAGTTCAAATACAAACTGGGCATTTTACGTTGTCAACTATTATTGAAATGCAAATTTAAAACCTACTTTATTCAGCCTTTTCAATATTTCACTTTACTCAAATTTTTGAACTAATCTTTAAATTAGATAAAATACTTCTAAACAACATAGAAATTGAACTTTGATATTTGCAGCCAAATGCTTCAAATGTTTTTATATGCATTTTACTCTGACTATGTTTACACTTAAATGTGTGTGTGTTGAGTGAACAAAGAGATGTTTGGTGTAGAATTATGTAAGGCCTATGCTGGTAAAGTTTCGAAGTTTCATTCAATTCAATCGATAAACAGAGGTTCTAAAGTTTCAAGTCGTAGAGATTTTTGGTGTACTGTTGTGTGTATATGAAGTTTGATATTTTTGTTTGCGATACCGATAACTTGCGGTTGAGTTGTTGTGTTTTAGTAATTTTTTAACGATTAGCTCTGTTGAGGTCATCTGGTCATTTTAAAATATTCAGAATTCGGTAAACACACAGACACACGTCAAAATTATGTGATTTTTTTCCAAAATTAGGTAATTTTAATTTAACCACACACCAACGTAATGGTCGCTAATAATTTTTCTATAATAATAACATCTTAAAATTAAGAATCATAGCCATAACATAAATAATAATAATTATAATATAGTATTTAATTATCGCGCATAATTATTGGTAAAATATTAAAATTAATTAAAATATTATTAATGGTTTTATCTTTCTGACGGATAGTCCGTTTCAGGCAGCGGCTTCATGCAAACCGAAGCACATGTGAATTGAACCTTGTCCAGAGTCATATGCTGTAATACATTCAGTCTCTTCGGGACAGGCCAGCTATGTGTGTGTGTATGTGTGTGTGTGAGAGAGAGAGAGAGAGAGAGAGAGAGAGAGAAAGAGAGAAAGAGAAGAAAAAGGAAGAGAAGGAAGAAGAAAGAAGAGAGAGAGAAAGAGAGAAAGGAAGGAAGGATAAAGAGTGGAGATGTGTGTGTGTGTGTTTCTGTGTGGTTGTGTGTGTGTGTATGTATGTGTGTGTGTGCTTGGTGTGTGGTGTGTGTGGTACGTTGTGTGGTGTGGTCCTTGCTTAGAATAGAATGAATATTCAGTGTAGTCAGTTACAATAATTGAAATTGTACCACAATTTTTTTAAAAATCGACCCTTCCAACCTCGGCGCATGGGTCCTTACAATTGCACGTCTCACAATTGTTGGGGTTCCTGAGGCGGCCAGATATGGGGCAATTATTTGGGGGACAGGTTAGTTCGGGGCATTTTCCTGACCCTGTTAAGGTAAAGCATTATAAAAATGAAATTTTCTGAATGAAAATAGTTATTATTCTAATTATTATTATTATTTATTTATTTATTATAAATTATTATTGCTTTTTTGTTAGTTTTTTATTTATACTATCAAAGAGATATCGACTGATAGATTGGCAGATGGCGTGCTAACGCTGAGCAATTATATTTAGAATAGGCTGAAGTTATGATGAAGAAAACTATATTGAGTGAATGAATAAATGAATGGATGGATGGATAAATGAATGAATGAATGAACGAACGAACGAACGAACGAATGAATGAATGAATGAATGAACGAACGAACGAACGAATGAATGAATGAATGTATGAATGGATGGATGGATAGATGAATGGATGGATGAATGTGGATGACTGGATGGATGAATAAACGAATAAATTAATATATTAATGAATTTATTAATGAATTAATTATCAAATGAATGAATGGCAATAACAATTTTTATAAAAATGTTGTCAAGTTCAAAATTAACCTCTGAATTAGGATGAGACAGAAAGTAAAATAAAAAGTAGAAAAAATAAAATCACTCATCTAAATATCTATGTTGTAAACACATGACGTCATAGCATTAATTGTGATTGGTAAATTCAAAGTTGTTGTAAACACACAGATTGGAATATCGTTAAGGATGATGTGGCTGGAGAAGATGAGAAGTATTCATCAGGTTGATCCGAGCTTAGCCGACGAATCGATTCCGTCTAATTACGCCAAAAATGTAACATACACCATTATTATGTTTGAAGTGTTGGATGGTCTTAAAACTAAAAGTGATGAACATGAAGCATGTAAGCGTAGGCTGACGAAAAGACAATAACAACAGATAAACATTCTCCGATGAATTTTTCATTTCGTTTTAAAACAATTAATATTATTAAATTACAAATATTTTAATAATTTTCGATTTAAAATTAATTAAAATGTCAAATTTTTAGCTTTATTTTATCAAAATCCATTTAAATTCAACGGTAAATAGCGTAACCGTTTATATAGGTAGGTAGGTACTAAAGTTTTACATTATTCGCTTCCTCAGTGGATATTTGTTAGAACGACTAAAAGCGGATCCGGAATTTCGAGGTGGGAAGGGGAAAAGTTTCAAAATTCAAAAATTACCTTTTTAGTTTATTCCCGTTTCGGATGGGGTCATTTTCAAAATGTAAGGCTGATGACCCATTTTTATACAGATCCTACTTTCTTCTTTTGATGTCCAGTTGGGAGAAGCACTCCCAAATTTCCACAATCCCACTGAATTTCTAGATCCGTCTCTGATCTTTACTAGTATTTCTTCTGTAAAATATTATTGATATTAATATCAAATGTAGAATGCAAATTACTAGAATGAATGAATATATTAATTTTCAAACCCAAACAACCAGCACTGAGAAAATGGCGAAAAATAATTGGAATCGTGTGGCAATATGCCTCACTCTTTTCTTCCTAGTGTATGTCATATACCGCCGAAGATGTAGAAGCAGCTCCAAATTTGACGAAAACTCCATTTTCATTCCAGAGAACTCGAAATTTACGTGTGATGATTTGTTTGAGGGTAACTCCTTCGGGAAATTTAATTTCTCTGCGAAATATTTTGAAGATCTTCCAGCCTTTAGAGAAGAGACGAAGAAACACGGTACGGTTGGCGATGAACATTTAGTGATGTTTCTATCCGAACAACTGGCTCTGCACTACCTGGCCGGCAAAAAAGTTTTCAAAAGTGTCTGCGAAACAGGGTTCAACTACGGACACAGCAGCTTCAACTTCATAACGGCTCGACCGGATAGTAAAATATTATCCTTCGATATCGGTCTCCACTCTCACACTCTAGAAATAATGGCCTACTTTAAGAAAACATATTTGGGTCGTTTCACCGGAATTATCGGAGATTCAAGATTCACTTTGCCGAAGTTTGTGACGGATCATCCGGACTACAAATGCAACTTATTCTTCTTGGATGGTAGCAACACCTACGAAGTCGTGCTCTCAGATCTCAAGAGTTTCAGCAAAATTTCTGACGAGGAGAACATCATCATCTTTGATGGCTACCCCACTAAAGACAACAGTTCTGTCGAAACCCTGGGCAAAGCTTGGGAGCAGGCGAAAAGTGACGAAGTGATTGCTGAGTTGATGAGGTGCAGAAAGGGGAGAGATGCCACGAAGGGGTTTTCCATTGGAAAATTTCTGTAAAAATAATACAAATAATACAAATGAGACCGTATATCTGTACACAAATCTGGTGTACAAAGCTTGTTGTCAACTGCATGTTAAAATATTTAGCGGACGATGATAACACAAAACAACCAGTATTTGAAATTTTGTAAACTAGACATTTATCTAATGGATTATTTTAAAGTTTAAAATATTTCTTACATTCCTTTCCATGATATTCTGAACGTTCGTTTATTCTATTGTTTGAAAATTTTATTTTCACGACATAAAAATGTTGAATAAATAAAAAAAAACCACACCTAAATGTGTATTATTATAGTTTTCCACCATTAGCAACAACATTTAAAAAACGTTTTAATGCAGTCTGTTTTACAAGATAAAATACATTAGATGTGACTTTATCATCGCCATTATCATAGTAATCATCACCATTCTCATCATCACTACCATCATCACTACCATCATCACCGTATCCATCATCATCACTATCATCATCATCGTAACCCTCACCACCATCAACAAAACAGCAACGTCTAAAAAAATTAAAAAAATATATAAAGCCATTTTGAGATCTCAACCAGGCGACATGTGACCACCGGACAACAGACGAACTTTTAAAAATCGTGTTATGAGTAGCCAAAAAATGGGGGCTAATTTGTTGCATAGGTCCTTTAAACACCGACTTAGAAGTACTTTAAACTCGAAGACCCCTGCCAAATGACCTTCCTGACCCCCTGATTTTATCCAGGGACTGTTTATATATTTATAGGGTTGTGTCAGACACAACCTTATAAATCTCTTTGAAGTCCTTGGTTTACAAATTTAATACTTTTGACATGTCGGAATACTTGCGTTAATATTTTAAAACATAATAACTTGATATAAATGTTACATTGTTACTTGGAACGTGGCAATTAACACGCACCGTTACACACACACGAACGCACACACACACACAAAAACGTACACAGACACACACACACAAAGATCTACCATTGTTAAAATATTTCATTTCATAAGATGTTACAATGCCTTTAGCTTTCACGTTATGACATTGCGTAAAAATATTGCTAAAATTATGAACAATAGAATGTAAGAGCAATATTTTATTTCTGATGAAATCTCTAAAACTGTGTGTGTGCGTGTGCGCGTGCGTGTGTATGTGTGTGTGTGTTGTGTGTGTGTTATGTGTATATATGTGTTGGTGTTGCAAACATTTTAATGTGTTTAGCAAAGTTTACCCAATAAAGCACCCTTGAAAATTAATAAATTCGTCTGTAAATTGATCGTAATAGCGGCTGAGAAATTTGGTCTACAAGAAAAAACACTGAAAATCACATCTAAACATGGGTTAGTCTGCTATCAATTGTTACAACGGTTATTACATTGTTACACACTTTTCAAACTCAAATCTAGAAACTACTTCTCAGATGAAGACACAAAAATGGTTTGAGTTTTCTAAAAAAATTTCTTTCTTTTCAGAGGGTGAAAGTCTCTTAGCAAACGTAGCCCTAGGCAAGTACACATACAACAGCTCAGCGTTCCACTACAGTTCGCAGATTATTCTGACGTCATTTTACGCTGTTGATGGCAACAACGACATGAGTGATGACAGTTCGGTGAATTGCTCTCTCACTGCACCCGGGTTCGAACCCCACTGGATCGGCGTCGATTTGGGAACGGTGTTTTCAATCATTTACGTGATGCTATACGTTGGAATGGGTAATTTAATTGTGATATTGCATAGATTTATTGATATGTTATAAATATAAAAAGTTTTTAGATAAAAGTACTAAGAGTGTTCGATTATTTGATTTATTTACAAGTTGACAATTACAATTTTATAAAAAAAAAACCTTTGTTGAGAGTAAAATAACGGGTTTTTTGTCTTTGAAATGAAATAAATTATTTTAATGCCTTTATTTCTAACCTAAAATTTGAAGTTTTAAAAATTATTAAACATTTTGAATTATTTCAGATCATGTTGATTTACCAACAAAGAACGATCTAAACTTCTTCATAGTGGGGGTGAGCAACAGGTCCCTGGATGTTCACCCGCCAGTGGGAGGCACCTACGATCTCTGTGCTCAATATCCAGGTGTGGTTGCTCCGAAGCAGGTGGTTCAGTTAAATTGTTCCTCTAGTACGCCTCCAGCCAGATACGTCATACTGCAACAACCTTCCAACTCTACTGGATACATGTCCGTCTGCGAATTCGAAGTCTACGGAACTCCTTATGAAAGTTTGATCAAAATAGGTAATACTTCAAATGTTTTCTAGCTTAATGATTTATCTTTTTATGGCAGAGCGTCGCAGAAACCTGCTTCTCAAAAGACCAGCCAACAGCAGTTCAAGTTTGTATGCGTCAGATGTCTGTGGTCCATTGTTAGCGAAAATGGCGGTGGATGGATTCCACGACACTTTCAGATACAACTGCCACTGTGCCATCACCAGCGACATTCCTGGCGGACCGAACTGGTACACGTTCGACATGCAGACCTCCTATCGGATTGATTACATCGCTTTGACGGCTAGAAGTTACGAAGGCTAGAAATATCTTTTGAATATTATTTTTTAGGGATGAAAAATTGATACAACATATAACCGAGTTAGCTCAGTCGGTAGGAGTGCCAGGTCTCGCGCTGTTGTTACGCGATGGCATGGTTCGAATACTGCCTGTCCAAAACTGAAAGACCATCATACGCGTATGATTTGGTGTTAGCGAGTGCATGCGTAATGAGCACGTGCGTCGTGTGGTGTGCTGTGGTGTGGTGTGGTGTGGTGTGGTGTGGTGTGCTGTGGTGTGCTGTGGTGTGGTGTGGTGTGCTGTGGTGTGGTGTGGTGTGCTGTGGTGTGGTGTGGTGTGGTGTGGTGTGGTGTGGTGTGCTGTGGTGTGCTGTGGTGTGGTGTGGTGTGCTGTGGTGTGGTGTGGTGTGGTGTGGTGTGGTGTGGTGTGCTGTGGTGTGGTGTGGTGTGGTGTGGTGTGGTGTGCTGTGGTGTAGTGTGGATTGTACAGCTCTTGTGGATCGAAGGTTTAATTACGAGTTTAGAATAACATGCAACCAGCTCTGCGTTTGACAGAGTTGTATCATGAATGATAAAAAAATTTAAAAAGTTGGCTACGAGAACTCAATCCACCGTCGCCTGGACAACTTCATAATCGGACTGACCGATGTGGACAGCTCAACTTCACCTCCGCAGAGGAACAACTATCCAATGTGTGCCACCTGGTCCGGTTCCGTTAAGATGGGAAGCAAAGTTGAACTAAAATGCAATGCCAACCTGCCAAAATATAGGTACCTGATCGCACAAGCCAGTGCTTCTGCTCCTAATGGAAAATTCACTATTTGCGAACTGGAGGCCTATGAATCATTGAATGAAAGTAAAATAATTTTAATAAAGTTTTACCCAAATCGATGAAAAAAAAATTAAAAGTTTTAAATTAAATTCAACAGATTCATCCAAATGGAACAGACAGTCAAACATGGCATTGGCTGGATTCCAATTCAAGCAGTTGAACGTGAGGAGTGTGTTGGACTGCATGCATAAGTGCAAGCAACTGGGAGGATGTGACTCCATCAACTTCCATCCAGCTTCTAAATTGTGCCAGCTCAATTCTCATATTAATGGCTACAACATCACCACACTTACGAGCGACACTAATTGGTTGTTTTATACGGTCAATTATTATTGAAAAACTTTTAAAACAAACTAAATCTCTAGAAAAAACTGATTCTTACAAATTTGAATTCATTTGAAATAATTGAAAAATTGCAAAAAATACAAATCTTTTGCTCTTTGTCTCAAATTGCAGTTTTTTTGCAGTTTGCTGCGTTTAGTAAATAAACAGCGTTTAAATTCTAAAAATGTCGTGGCGGATTGATTAATTAATTGATTGAATGAATGAACGAATGAATGAATGAATAAATGAATGAATAAATGATTGATTGATCGATTGATGAGATCAGTAGCGAGATCATTGAATCGAAACGACTCACCCCACCACCCGTTCTCATATCAGTGCAATTAAACCTTCATTCAACAATAGGCTCCTTGAAACGAATTACAAAAACAAAATAGGAAGCTCTAATTGATTCTAACACGCACTGGCAAATACAGTTGCACGCGCACACACACACACACAAACAAGCAAACACAAACACACACAGACAAACTTTTCTGATAAGTATTAAGGAATACAAAGTTTGATGACATACGTTAATAAAAAGGCAAAGATTCGCTCGTGTTTTCATCTCATTTATGAGTTTTTTGTCCAACTGAGATCACATATAAATTGTATGATATTAACAACATCCCTTGCAAAATAAATTCCATTTAACGCCTTACAGACAACAAATCTAGAGAATACAAATGTGAATAAGCAAAAAAAATCACACCGAAATAGCTCCACCATGCACATGCACACCAACAAACACCAAAAGAGAACGACATGCATATTACAATCCTCATTCGTCAACGTTCTAATTTATCATCTTCTTAATTCTTTGCACTGAATAACAACGTTTTTGGTGTGCTAATTGCAGAAGGTGTATCCATCTTAATTGTTTAATTTTTTCCTGAAAAATAAATTAAAAATTTTCAACTTTTTTTACTGGAATAACATAAATGTTTTATGCGCAGTTTGCTAGGAGCAACTTGAAAATACATTAAGTGCATTAAAATTTGTTACTAATTTACTGGTTTCTGAAAACGTACGAAGTATAAAATATAATATTATCAAATATTCAACATTAAGGCAAGCTATTTAAAGCAAATAGCATTAAAGAAAGCAAGAAAAATTATTTTGCGTTGGATTTAATGTTGCCAGATCAGTTTGTCAAATTTGGTTAGTTGTTAGTACTTCATAATTGATTACAAACATTAAAAAAGTTTGATCGGGGCTGGATTTAGAAGTCTTCTACGGCAACAAAAGGGTAGATGACCCTTATTTTTTATTAAATTTCAAAAATTAGTTTTTTGTTTCGTCCACCTTTTCCCCAATGTTTCCCGCAAAAACCAGTTAAAATTTGTATTATCTATAAAAACGCGAACCAATATATATTGTGTTTTTATTTTTTGTGTATGCCTTTATTTTGTTAAAGTCTCGGGGCAGTAGCCCGTCTGCTCACCCCCAAATCCGTTTCAGACTATTTTACTTTTAAAAATAATAATTCAATTTCCCAATGACAGAGACGATTTGGAAATGTTAACAAACATAGCTCTGGGCGCCTACACGTACAACAGCTCTGCTTATTATATCAGTTATTACGTCGTTCTAACTTCTTATTGGGCTGTCGATGGCAAAACTGGTTTGAACGACAGTTCAGTGTCATGTTCTGTGACGGTTCCCGGGTTCGAACCCCACTGGATCGGTGTCGATATGGGAAGTTTGTTTTCAATCGTCTATGTAATTCTCTACGCTGGAACAAGTTAGCTTAGTTGCTATCAGCTTGCTTCAGTTTTTATCCATGAGACTTAAATAATTTATTTGGTGTAAATTTTCAAATTCAGATGAAACATTTGCAACAACCAAGAACGATTTGAACTTCTTCATAGTGGGGGTGAGCAACAGGTCCCTGGATGTTCACCCGCCAGTGAGAGGCACTTACGATCTCTGTGCTCAATATCCAGGTGTGGTAGCTTCGAAGCAGGTGGTTCAGTTGAATTGTTCCTCTACTACGCCTCCAGCCAGATACGTCATACTGCAACAACCTTCCAACTCTACTGGATACATGTCCGTCTGCGAATTCGAAGTCTACGGAACTCCATATGGAAGTATGAAATATAATAATATTTAATATTCAACTGTAAAATTTATTTTACTGTCTTTTTGCAGAATTCAAAACCAACCTGCTACTGAAAAGTTTAGCCGAGCATAGCAGTTCATTTTTTTCTTATAGCTGCGGATCACTGACAGCTTCATTGGTTGTGGATGGCTTTCACGACACCTGCCTATCCAGATGTCACTGCGGCCACACGAACGATGCCCTTGGAGGACCGAACTGGTTCATGTTCGACATGACTGCCCGTCACTTCATTGATTATATTGCTCTAACAACTAGAGGATGGGAAGGTTGGCATTACATTTCAATTCTGTTTTTTTTTGAAAGAAATAACTTATGTCGGTTTAAAAGACAGTAGATACAACAATTAGCTAATGAATAAATAAAATTACGTTGAAACAAACCTTGTGGACAGTTTTGAAATAATTGATTAGGTCCACCGGCCAATAACAACCAACTCGCCCTTCGCACTGAAAACTTGACCATCGGACTGACCGACGCAGGGCCACCCCCAGCGAAAAACAATTATCCAGTGTGCGGCAGATGGCCTGGCCCCATCAGACACGGTGGCAGAGTGGAAATGAAATGCAACGCCAACCTGCCCAAACATAGATATCTGATCGCACAGGGTAGTGCAACTGCTTCAGACGGACACTTCACTCTTTGCGAACTGGAGGCCTATGAGCCCGCTGATGAAAGTATTTATTACTGTAATTTGTTTTTACAAATCTTGTGCTCCACTTTAACTTTTCAAAAAAGACAAAAAGTGACATGTTGATTTCAACAACTTTAAACTGTTTGCCTATTTAAATAATTCATTTCTTCTTTTAAACAGACTTGTTTGTGTGGAAAAGACAGTCAAACAAGACATTGGTTGATTTCCAATTCAAGCAATTGTACGTGAGGAGTGCATTGGACTGCATGCATAAGTGCAAGCAACTGGGAGGATGTGACTCCATCAACTTCCATCCAGCTTCTAAAATGTGTCAGTTCAATTCTCATGTTAATGGGTATACTTCACTTGCAACTCACCCAAATTGGTCATTTTATTTGGTAAATTATTACTGAATAAAGCTTGAAAAACGCGCTGAATTTAGGCACAAAACGCCTTTATGATTATGTCTATTCATTAGACAACTAGTTATTAGCAATAGTTTAGTAATGTTCCAAAGCATGTAGCAACATGCTTATGAGCAGTTTTAGAAACTTTTTTTAATATAACTTATGCCAAAAATGCACATATAATATTATCAAAAAGAACCTTTTCTCCGTCTGAATTTTATCGTCAGTAAATATTTGCCCGTTACCAACATTAAAACATTTTAAAATCGCTAATTTTGTAAGTTAAATTATTGATATAAACAGCATAAACGCTGTTTAACATTATATATGTTATTAAATTTTCATCAATTCTCATATCTTTCCTAGCTATTGCTAATTTTAAACCTTAAAACGCTTATTATATTCATTTTTCGGCTTGAATTAAATTTCAGATGTAGGTATATGTATTGTATATACTCTCACATTTGTATACGGGCGCCAACCTTAAAGGGTGAAACAATTCTTGCCTAACTCCCCAAATTTTTAAAAGAGGTAGACATTTAGCCCCTCTAGCTAGTAAATGTTTGCTCTAGCTACAATATTAAATTGTATATGATTCTTTTACAATATTATGATATTGCACATTAAAAACAATTTAAAAAAAACTCAGACAAGTGAGATACGGTTTGTGTTTGTGTGCGTGCATGTGTGTGTGCATGTGTGTGTGTGTGGTGTGTGTGTGTGTGTGTGTACGTGTGTGTGTCTTGGTGTGTGTGTCTTGGTGTGTGTGTCTTGGTGTGTGTGTGTGTGTATGTGTGTGTGTGTGGTGTGTGTGTGTGTGTGCGGTGTGTGTGTGTGTTCGTGGTGTTTATTTATTTTTAAGACATTATATTTAGATGTAAATGTTCATTGCACCTAACGTACAACTGCATTTAAAAATTGGATCTGCACTGCCTCTCATTGCCAAAGTATGACAAATTGCAAGAAGCTTACACCGGTGAAACGTTTATAATTATGGTGGAAAAATTTGTTTACTGTTTAATTGTCGAAATGATTAAGACGGCCGGTTCTGCTGTCGTAGTGACAGGGTTCAAATGCAGAAATCTCCCACCCATCATCAAATAAAGATAAACTTATTGAAATTATTGTTGAAAGATAAACTGCTATTTTTTAATTTTTTCATTTCAATTTTTTTATCGCAAAACATAAGAATATGTTTTTTTCTCAATTCTATAGATAGAAATGATAAAACTTTTCAATATTTCTCATTGTCTCACGTTTATAATATCGTGTTTGAAACCATATTAAGTCTGTTTCTTCAATTTTTGAGTTTTTAAAACATGAATAACAATGAACTAATTACCACTTACCTTACAAAATGACAAAGTAACTTAAAAAAACAAAGCAACACCACCAATGACACATCATTAATATACAATTCGGCAATAAATAGATAGACAGTACATTTTTAGAGAAAAAAAACTCCAGGAATCATTGGGGGAAACAATTTACTAAGAAAAAAACCATGGCGGATCCGGGAATTTTCCAGTGGGAAAGAGATAATTTTTAAAATCCCAAATTGGTAACCTTTTTTTCCAATTCCCGTCTCCAGTTTGGCCGTTTAATCCCGGAAGATTTATTCAAATTTAAGCTGGCGACTTCTTTCTCCTTACACAAAATTTTCAATACATTTTTCCATGGTTTGGTTAGGGAAGGGGAGTGTATTTTCGATTCTCTCCTATTTTATGGATCCGTCCGCCATTGATAAAATTATTTAATTGAATTTATTTGAATGACATAAAATGACTATGTTACATGAATTGATTAACGTATTATATTATAATATATTACAATGTAACATAAATTTAACAACATAGTCACATGAATTGAATGTCTTATAATGAATAACAATATATTAATAAAACAAAAAATACGACAAGCAATTTATCATAGAATGGCATTTAACTGAAGAACAAAGCCATTTATTTGAATGGAATTGAAATGAAATGACATATGGATTAAAACGTCAATGAATCGTTAAAGACAACCCAATTATGTACTTTAAAGCAGTCTAGTACATTTCTACAGCCTATAAGTTAATAATAATATAATAATAATAATAATGTTGTTATTATTATCCTAAACCTTTTGTTGAAAACGATTTATTAGCTGAGCGTATTGTCTGTTTGATCTTTCATTTTGCATGGCTATAAACTGAAAATTTCAAAAAAAAAATAATAATAAAATAAAATAAAACTTGAATTCAACTCGACAGACGCAGCTAATAATATTTTGCAAAAACAATAATTATTACTTATTATTTTTATTTTTGAAACAATGATGACAATAAAATAGAAAATATATCATAACGCTAATAACACAGCAGAATAAGTGATTCTATTTTAGTTCAATCACAATTTCTAGACTAAAACGCCATTCTAATCCCATAAATAATAAATAATAATAAATTACCCAATGATTTTACAAAAAAAAACATAATGAATGAAACGAAAATAATGGATGAAGGAATCTTTATAATGTATAATTGCATGTCTTATGTCTTTTTCTACGACTGTAACATGTAGAATAAAAAAAAAATTAAAAAAAGACATTCAGCAAATGACTTATCGACTGCTTGTTAATGGATGCGAATTCGTATAGGGAAGGTTCTATCTAGACGCCAGTTACTTTAAACGGAATACCTATCTATATTTATAAATTTATATATTTATTTATAATAAATTTGGCTGAATATTTATTTTGAAAAAATAAAACAATCTTTTGGCAATCAGCTAAAGCTAAAAGCAATCGTGTTAAGCGGAGATACGATGTTTAGGTTCCTATGTATGATTTTCTTAGAAATTTCAGGTTTGTCTTCGAGTAATTGAGCAATAAAATTTTTCTATTTGAAAATTTTGATGATTTTCAATCGGAATATTTAATTTTTCAATCAGTTACACACAAAACCTAAACATTTAAACTCTGAAACAACACAGCGGGCCAAGGTACTCTAACAAACATAGCCCTTGGTACCTACACACGGAACAGTTCTGCCTTTGTAGCTGCCGAAGTGTTAACTTCATACTTTGCGGTGGACGGTAGAAGCGGTCTGAATGACAGTTCAGTGTTATGTTCTGTGACGGTGCCCGGGTTCAAACCCCATTGGATCGGAATCGACCTGGCAAGTTTGTTTTCAATCATCTACGTGGTTCTCTACGCTGGAGCAAGTAAGATTTTTGAGTTTGGTATCCATTTGTTATGTGTCATGTTGTTAAACTGAAATATATCGCCTGTTCAGATGTTGCTGAAGTAAAAACATGGAACTATCTGAACTTCTTCATAGTAGGAGTGAGCAACAGGTCCCTGGATGTTCACCCGCCAGTGGGAGGCACCTACGAACTCTGTGCTCAATATCCAGGTGTGGTTGCTCCGAAGCAGGTGGTTCAGTTGAATTGTTCCTCAACTACGCCTCCAGCCAGATACGTCATACTGCAACAACCTTCCAACTCTACTGGATACATGTCCGTCTGCGAGTTCGAAGTCTATGGAATTCCATTCGGAGGTAGAACAAAAGTAATTGTTCAAACTGTTATGCATTTGAATAAATAACATTTGTTTATTTTGCTAACAACAGACCGCCGAGTAAATTTATTGCTAAAGAAGCCCGCTAATCAAAGTTCTGCAATATCCGATACTATTTGTGGGTTATACATTGCAGCGAAGGTTGTGGATGGATTCCACGACACCAACCCAATCCACTGCCACTGTGGCCACACTTTGGAGGGAGTTGGACAACCGAACTGGTACGTTTTCGACATGGGAGGTAAATATCACATCGATTATATCGCTCTAACTGCTCGAAGATGGGATGGTAATGGCTATGATGACCTAATATCCCACCGTCTGGACAACTTCATAATCGGACTGAACAACGTAGACAGCTCAACATCAGCTCCACTGAGAAATAAATATCCAATGTGTGCCACATGGCCCGGCTACGTCAAACATGGGATCAAAGTTGAACTGAAATGCAATGCCAACCTGCCAAAATATAGGTACCTGATCGCACAGGGCAGTGCAACAGCTTCCGATGGCTTCTTCGCCATCTGCGAACTGGAAGCCTATGAGCCTGTGGATGAAAGTTTGTAATACTTGTTGTATACGAATTTTTTGTTTAATGGTGATTCTACAGATAAAAAATGAGAAAATTATTGTTGTTTTAGATTCATTCAGATGGAAAAGAAAGTCAAACATGGCATTGGCTGGATTCCAATTCAAGCAGTTGAACGTGAGGAGTGCGTTGGACTGCATGCATAAGTGCAAGCAACTGGGAGGATGTGACTCCATCAACTTCCATCCAGCTTCTAAATTGTGTCAGTTCAATTCTCATGTTAATGGCTACTACACCACCACACTTACGAGCGACACTAATTGGACGTTTTATACGGTCAATTATAGTTAAAGACGAAACTACATACGAATAAGTGAACATGAAATGTGTAAGTCGTACCAACATATGTTAATTAGTACAGACGAAATTGATTTTTATATATTCATTCTGTTCTTCATTTTAATACTTATTAATTTAATAACTTCAAAAATCCACAATAAAAATTATCTTCGTTATTTTTGCTTTTTATATTAATCAAAATTCTGGTTTCCAGAAATTTTCACTTCATATGCTAACCCAGGGGTGAGCAAACTACGGCTCGCGAGGCCTCGTGAAACTATGGTCGTCAGCCAGACAGACATTATGACCAAAAAAAGGAACGACAAATATTAAAAAATTTTCTCCCGGGTCGAAAAAACTTGCTATGTAAGTACATATGCGGCCCCGTAAATGCAAAACAGTTCTCAATGCGGCCCTCACAGCAAAAAGTTTGCCTACTCCTGTGCTAGCTAAACAGTGTGTTCACAAGTTTGCAATTGCTTAAAACCTCTGCTTGCATTTTTTTGTACGTTCTTGTAAAAAATGTATTGCATTTAAATAAATATAAACAATAAATATATATTTAGTTTAAACCATGTAAAATCAAATTGATAACGTTTTTAAGAAGAAAATAAAACAGTAATTGATTTGATAAAAAGATTTCCTTTTGATTAAATCAAACCATAACCATAACGATTCAACACAGACATTATTGAGCCATAATTACTGCGCTAGTATCATGCACCACTGCCCATAATAATCACTGAATCATTTTAAAACATGTTAAAAAAAGACAAACTCGGATGAAAATTTCTATACAAGTAACAAATCCTATATTGAAAACGTCTCATTGTAAACATTATAGTAAAGACAAAATATTTTAAAACGTGTGTGTGTGTGTGTGTGTGTGTGTGTGTACACATATACATATAACATATAAACACTGGAAATGTAACTTTAAAAGCTTAAAAAATGAAGAAATTTTTCATTCTAGTAGCATTGTCTAAAATATATACAAAAAATGAATTAATATCTCATTCGAATTTTCTCTCTCTCTCTTTCTCTCTCTCTCACACACACACACACACACACACACAGACAACACACATACACACAAAAACACTCACATTCTTTCTCTCTTTCTTTTACACACAAACACACACACACAAATAATTCTCTTTCTCTTTCTCTCTCTCTCTCTCGGAATATAAAATTTGAATAAAGCATTTCACCTAACAATTTATTTAACAAAAGTTCGCCGGTAATATAAAATAAGAAATTCAATAAACACACGTCTTATCTCAATTGCGAGATGCTCGCTCATGGCAGCTGTAACAAGGACTAAAATATAATTAAAAATACACATAAACAATCCCACATGCCTACATTGCATACGCAAATGTTAACAATTCAATTACAGTAACGATTGACGTCATCAACAACAATAACAATAACGACAAATAGAAACAACTACAATAACATGAAAGGTAATAGTTACAACAATAATAAAAACAATAGGACATACATATAAAGCTTATAATGATCACATACCATACACACATATGTACCTCAGTAAAAGTTAAACGAAATTTGATGTATAAAACGAATGAATGTAAAAACATTTAAGAATAGTCGAGATTGTGGATTGTGAAAGTGGAGATTGTTTGAAAAAAAATGAAATTATTATTAACTGCACTTAAATAATTATTATAATATTATAATAATAGTCAGTATTTCTCCAGAAAAGATGATACTACATCAGACGGTTTTGGTGATATAAAAAGTTGTTGTTGTTTAATATTTTGTTGTTGTTGTTGTTGCTTTTTACTTTGTTGTTGTTGTTGTTGTTTAGCTTTTTGTTTGGTTTTTTTATGTACCCTTAGCGTTGGTTGAGTTGTACAGTTTCCAGGGAGTTTATTTTTCAACCGTTTGAAAATTCTTGCGTCTTCGACATCCTGATCTTCATAATCTGATGTTTCAACTTGCTCTTGTCGCTGCTGTGGTTGCTGCTGCTGCTGCTGTTGCTGTTGTATAGCTTGTGAATCATCGACTTTTTGTAGTAGTTGTTGTTGTGGTTGGACTGTCTTTTTTAGATTAGTAGAATCATTTTGCTGTTGGTCATTATAATGTTGTTGGCTGTTATATTGTTGTTGTTGAGATGAAATTAAATTAGTTTTATCACCATTAATACGTTGTGATTGTTCATGTGCCGAGTTTGATGGCTGTAGGGAAATAGTAAAAAGCTGTTGTTGTTGTTGTTGTTGTTGTTGTTGTAATGGCTGCTGTTGGTTACTTTGTTGAGGCTGTTGTAGTTGCTGCTGCTGCAGAGTAAATGATGGAGAAAAGCCCAGTAAAAGTGATTCAAAAAATTTCTGTCAAAAAGAAATAGGAAAAAAAATTGTGAATCAACAGCAATATCAAAACTCAAATCAATAAAAATTAAAAACAAACCAGCCAACCAACCAATCAACCAACCAACCAACCAATCAACCAACCAATCAATCAATCAACCAACCAACCAACCAACTAACCAACCAACAAACCAACCTGTCTCGGTGAGTAGGATCTTTCTGCATGAGCAACATCATCAGCGTCATCATGGGCGCACACACCTCCACCATTACCAACGCTATCAACAATTTTTTCGTCCTTACCATCATTAACTTCCACAGCTGGCTTTCCGCCATCAACCTTTTGGGATTCTTTCTCTTTGACGAGAACACCATTATCACTAGAGACCCCAGCGCTACTATTCTTATCATCACCGACTTCACCACTGGCAACAATCAAATTCCTTGCTCTATCCTTATAAGTTGAAATTGTCGAACAATTTGATTCATCACATCCATTCATTCTCACATCGTTACGTTCATTCATCTTCTCCTTTCTTCCGCCATTCCACGGATTCCTGTCCGGGAAAAATTTCTTATTAGTGATGGAAAAAAATGAAATCATTTTTTTCGGGGATTTAAAAGGTTTTTCAGGAATCTCTAGAGAATAATTGTTGAACAACGGAACTCTGTTGTTAGCGAAACTAGGCATGTAAGTACTGGAGTCAAAATGTTCCATGGTTTCAAGAGCAATGTCAAAATAGTCTGAATGTTTCTTCATGTACTGAGCTAAAGCTGAGTAGAGGAACTGATATTCAGCCTGTGTGTGTTTGCATGTGTGTGTGTGTGTGTGTGTGTGTGTGTGTGTGTGTGTGTGTGTGTGTGTGTGTGTGTGTGTGTGGTGTATGTGTGGGTGTGAGCATGTGAAAATTTTATCGTCAACTTATTACGTTTTAATGTCTAAGTATGTTTGTTTACAATACAAGTTCACGCTGCGTGTAGTACAAAGACAATTGCCATCCAACCCGGCCAACTAACCATTCAACCAGCTAATCAGTCAACAAGCCAACGTAACCATTTAACAAACCAACCAACCAACCAACCAACCAACCTTATTTTCAGCAGTGTACGGTAAGTAGGACCTAACAAGTCTAACTCTACTGAACACATCGACCACACCCTCTCTGGCCGCCTGCTCCAGACTCACCCAGCAAGCTATAAATAGACCACTGCGTGCCAGGGCATCACGGGATAGGTCGTGACCTTGACATTTGTTCTCAGCACTACTACTTTCATGATGAACGCTATCTCCGTGTTGATTGGTTGACGATTTTGTTGTGACTCCTCCTACCTTTACTGCCCCACCAATGAGCATCATCGGCCTAGTTTGACTTGTCCTGTAACGCAATGTAATGTACACAGTGTACATTATCATCAGCATTAATATCACTACAAATCTACATTGAAAAAGTATTTGTCGTCTTTATCATCATCATCATCATTATTAACCTCATTCTGGTTATTCTGAGATGGTGAATGAACTGCAGGAACAAGCTGAGAGAATTAGGCAGCACATCCCTACCAGACCACCCATCTCTGATCTGAATGACCTTGACATTGCAACGCCTCTGCGACATAGACCTGCTTAACCTTGACATGTTTAAAGAGGCGCCCTCATTTTTTGAAATATCCAACCAATAAGAATCATCCTTCTCGTCACTGAGTGATCTGATTCGTTGACTTACAACGAGGTTAAAAATAGTAGCATTTGATTCACCGACGGTATGGACTGATTGACAGCTGATCATATATTTTCCACAGGCTAATTTGTGATTGGTCGAAAACTCAACAGCTGATTTGTCATCGACCAATAGGAACTCATCAGGGGTTTCATCATTGGTTACGATTAACTTCTGCAGCAGTATGACAGTTGTGATTCGTTGCTTCATCACCTGGTACCAAAATGATTCGCTGTTCAGAGTATCTGAGTTTCTGAAGGATTAACAATTGATCAATTGATCATTTAATAAATAATTAAAAAAAGATAAAAATATAAGACTAACAATTTAACGAGGAATGTATTCCTACGTTCGTAGCCATCAATGAATAAATAACCACTCCCGACAAAAGTTCTATCTGCAACTGATGACGACGGCTGTAACGTTGTAAGGGTACTTGAATATACCCCAGAAACAAATTCTCCTAATTTGTGGCTCGATTTGAAATTAGGCAGATAGCTTACAGACTGCATTAATTTGTGTTCGTACAGCAACTCAGTGGCTATGGTCTTTTTACATCTGGCAGCTGAGTTTTTAAAGATGGCTACAAACTTATCGGCCGGTTGACGTGTGTGAAAGTGGTCGAATTCTTCTGCAAGGCACTCGTACAGAAAGATGTACTGCTGGAAGGATTTGATCAAGTTGAATCTTTCTGATCTGAAATCAGTGGAGAATAATTAGAATAATTAATTAATTTATGAAATGAATGGATCCAATTTTTTTTTATAACAATTCCGGGGATATCTCTTGCGGTAAAGTAATGAAGTAGAACCCAAAACCCTCCCCCTCTACCAACCTTAGCAGAGAAACGCACTTCTTGACATCAACAATCCCCAGGTTGCATCCCTGTTTCAAGAGGCAGTCCAGGGCCACGAACAACCCGGACCTCCCTGACCCGAATCTACAGTGCACCACTAGGCGGCTG